TTATTCTATTTAAGTAGCTGACACAATACTAGGTTTTAATAGAGATCGTACCGTCATCTTGTGGCCAGATTGTAGCATTGCAACTTCACACACATGCACTAAACATTTTCTTGCTTATTAATTTAGGTTGAAAAAGAATCTTAATGTCATCCAGTTTCTGTTCAGACCCATCATTTTACAGTGGAGGCTCCTGAAGCTTATATCCCACTCCAGGCTTCATTTCTTCACATTTAGCCAGTTCCCCAGTATTACTCAGATTAACATTAACTTTTGTAAATAAATATATAAACACTCAAAGTTATTTGCACTGCCATATGCTGCCCATACCTGCACATGTGTGTGAGAATCAATTTGGTATCAAATCAGCTCCTGGTGGGGCGCCTGGGTGGCTCAATTTGTTAAGCATAGACTTCAGCTCAGTTCATGATCCCAGAATCCTGGGATCCAGCCCAGCATCTGGCTCCCTGCTCAGTGGGGAGTCTACTTACCCCTCTCCTTCTGCCCCCCCCCCCCACTTGTTCTCTTTCTCTCTCTCTCTTTCAAATAAATAAATACAATCTCCTTTAAAAAATCAACTCCTGGGGCACCTGGGTGGCTCAGTGGGTTAAGCTGCTGCCTTCGGCTCAGGTCATGATCTCAGGGTCCTGGGATCGAGCCCCGCATCGGGCTCTCTGCTCAGCAGGGAGCCTGCTTCCTCCTCTCTCTCTGCCTGCCTCTCTGCCTACTTGTAATCTCTGTCTGTCAAATAAATAAATAAAATCTTTTTAAAAAAATCAGCTCCTGGTAACTTTAAATCTGAGGTTCATATTGGAAAGCACAGCTTTTTTCTTTGTCCACAGTATTTAATATGTGTGGCTGTTTCTCTTATTCATTTATTTAAAAGTGTTTACTGAAAAGGGGTGCCTGGGTGGCTCCGTGGGTTAAAGCCTCTGCCTTGGGCTCAGGTCATGATCCCAGGATCCTGTGATGGAGCCCCGCATCAGGCTCTCTGCTCAGCATGGAGCCTGCTTCTCTTTCTCTCTCTCTCTGCCTGCCTCTCTGCCTACTTATGATCTCTGTCTGTCAAATAAATAAATAAATAAAATCTTTTTAAAAATAAAATAAAAAATAAAAATAAAAGCATTTACTGAGAACTTACAACATACCAGGCACTATGCTAGTGTTGAGGATTGCACAGCGAGCAAAACTCTCTCTTGTCATGGAGCCTACATTCTAGTGAATGAAGACAAATGATAAACAAATAAGCAAATAACATAGTATTTCAGATTTGCTATTAAGAAAAATACAACAGGAACAGGGTGGGGGGATCAAGAGAGACTTCACTGATTAGATGATATCTGGACAGAAACCAAAAGGGATAACATGAGTTCCCTGATGAATATTTGGGAAAGAGGTGATCAACTGAGACTTCATAACACCTCTAAGAAATTGGAGGTCATCCAAAACTATACTGACAAAGTTACTCCCCACAGCTCCCTTTCTAGAGATCTATTAGAAACATTTCCTGCTCTCTCTCAAAATAGCATAATGAGGATGTAGGGAGGAAAGATGTCAATAGGGAAAATACCGTAGAGCAGGAATTCCCCTGAGGTTAGAATGTTTCTTTGTATCTCTTAACAGCATGGATCGTTTAGTTTTGTTTTGTTTTTCCTTTTAATCAAAACTCCAGAGGCAACAGCTAATGAAAACCAATGTAAAAGATGGCTCAAGAGATACAGAATGCACACTCATCAAAGAGCCCTGAAAGGCAGATGCTCTCAGATTCTGAATACTTCCTTGATGGGCGAAACTCCTGAAAGAGTTCTAAAGCCTTTCTAGAACAGATGAGGATCCCTTTATAATAAGCTAGACTGACTCTCCGAAGGACATCTGTCTGTCTGCTGGAGTATTCCAGAAGCTCAAGGACAGCAGCCATCTTCCTCCACGATTTTGCAGCTCTGCCCATGTGAGTCCAAGCAGATGGGAAAACAGTCCAAAAACTAGCTCCATTCAAAATAAGGCCAACAACTAACTTTGGAACTTTAAGGTTTTCTGTCATTTCATCTAACATTAATTTCATTAGTCTCTTTCTTCATCTTCCTTAACTCTTTCCCAAACTGCTGGAATTAAGTTCCTTTTTTCCAAAGTTAAGGAGTTTATTTTGCCTGAAAAAAAGACTCAGAAGAATCTTCACACAATTTTCCTTCCATTTTCTCTTTTTTAGGGTAGTGATATAGGGCACAGTTGGGAAGTGCTAAAGTCACAGAGGTCATGGAGAAGATCCTTCGGTAGTTGTGCAAACATAGCCCGATTCATGTCCTTTCTTTTCTTCAGTGCAGAAGACACTAAGTGACTTTCTTTAAAAGTGAGCTTGTCTTTTAAAAATCTTTGGTGGGGGGGAACTTTGGCAGAACAAGAATCTATGTACTCCTGTGAGAGTAGATAAAACATGTCAAGACCACCCAAACTCTCTGCATTTCCCCTACTCTGCTCGAGCTCTTCCAGAACGTCTGTGAATGAATATAATGGAAGAAATATCTTCTTTCCAGAAACAGATTTGGGTTGGGTCTTGTCCCAAGGGTAAAGAGAGGTTCTTTGATCCTAATGACATCTAATACATCACTACTTTAGTTCTGTCTAATTACTTTATGTGAATGGGGGGAGGTGCAGAAGGAAAGGGAAGGAGAGAATCTCAAACAGACTCCCCACTGAGTGTACAGTCCAAAACAGGGCTCAATCTCAGGACCCTGAGGTCATGACCTGAGCTAAAATCAAGAGTCAGACCCTTGGGGCGCCTGGGTGGCTCAGTGGGTTAAAGCCTCTGCCTTTGGCTCCAGTCATGATCCCAGGGTCCTGGGATTGAGCCCCGTTGGGCTCTCTGCTCAGCAGGGAGCCTGCTTCCCCCGCCCCCACGCTCTGCCTGCCTCTCTGCCTACTTGTGATCTCTGTCTGTCAAATAAATAAATAAAATCTTAAAAAACAAAAAGAGAGTCAGACCCTTAACGGCTTAACTGACTGAGACACCCAGGTGCCCCTGAATTTAAGTTACTTTAAAAAATAACTGAGGGATGCCTGAATGGTTCAGTCAGTTAAGCCTCTGTCTTCAGCTCAGTTCATGATCCTAGGGTCCAGATCCAGTCCTGCATGGGGCTCCCTGCTCAGTGGGGAGTCTGCTTCTCCCTCTGCCTGCTGCTTCCCCTGCTTGTGCTCTCTCTCTCTCTGATGGATAAATAAAATCTTTAAAAAAAAATAAATAAAGTAAGACTGATGAATCACAGACCTCTACCCCTAAGGTAAATAATACATTATATGTTAATAAAAAATAAATAAATAAATAAAATTAAAATAAAAATAAAAAAATAACAGATAAAAATCTCTCGGGGCGCCTGGGTGGCTCAGAAGCTTTAACCTCTGCTTTTGGCTCGGGTCATGATCCCAGGGTCCTGGGATCAAGCCCCGCATTGGGCTCTCTGCTCAGTGGGGAGCCTGCTTCCTCCTCTCTCTCTGCTGGCCTCTCTGCCTACTCTATTTCTGTCAAATAAATAAAATCTTTAATTAAAAAAAAAATCTCTCAGGAAAATTTTCTGATGGAGATTAAAGTGTTAAACCTATTAATATTTACATATCATTTATAATTAATCTGTTAGTATTTTAATTGCTTTCTGAAAATAGTCACTTAAATTACAAAGATACTATGGTTAAATGGCAGATGACTCCATCTCAAACCTGAGTGTGGGGAGAAAAATATCAAATACTCTATTCAACAAATACATGTTATTCCTCTATCTTTTCATCCTGACAAGAAACTTCAAATTCTCTCAAGGTGTTTAGAGAGAGTTACTACATGGTCAACTGCTAGATATAGAGAGATAAATATATAGATAGATATCAAGTCCTGAATTAATCAATGCCATTAAAAATAAACAATAAAAATTACTCTATAATCCCATACCAAAAAATCCAATCCCAAACCAATAGACCACATAAATCAGCCAAAAAACTGGCATAATATCCTGGAGCAATAAAAAACATGAGTGGCCCTCCGAGTTTGTTATAATAAAACTCAACTCATACTGCATGAGAATGAGATGGTTGCTTGCCAATCAGGAGGGTTCAAGGGTCAAACAAGATGAAGCCGCAGCGAAAGAAACAGTGTCCAGTCAGTGGGTTTTGGCACCAGCCATTCTATTGGCCATTCAGAAAATAATGACCACATTTGCTGTGTTAAATGGGAGGACTAATGGGGGAGACAAATAAGAAATTAGACAATAGTAACGGAATGTGACACGTGCTCTGAAAAGTGTAAGCGTGGTCTTCAGGAATCAGGAAAGTCTTCTTGAAAAAGAGGACCTCAAACTCAGTCCTGAAGGGAAAGTGCACATTACCCAGGTGAAGTGAGCAGAGAAGGTGTTGTGCATGCATAGGCTCAAGCTGGAGTAGGCCACTGTGAGAGCCCTGAGGAGTCCCGTGAACTGAACACTAAGAAGGAACTGAAAGGGGATTGACAGAGTGACAAATAAGGCCATATAATGAATATTTTTACATGCTGTGGTAAGGAGTTGAGACCTTAGCTGAGACATTGCAATGTTGGTAAGTGAAGGGAAAAGTCAATGTGGTAGTTGTGGGGTATGTATTCCATACTGCTCTTCCTCCACCTTGGCCCCCTTTAGTGAACTCCCTTTTTGGTTGGAATTATTGGTTCTTCTCTACTATCCATGTGTACCCTTGTGCCTTGATCTGCCAAATTCTGCTTCTTGGTATCTCCTAATAGATAAGAGTTTCCATCCATCTAGGAAAATAACCAGCCTCTAGACAGTTCGTCTTACCAAGTAAACCAAGATAGTTTTTAACAACACTGCCTGTTCTTAAAAAAAAAAAAAAAAAATTAAGTTGTGACAGTATTCTGTTTATCTCATCACTCTAAGGCATTAACCATCAGACAAAAGCATTCCCTTGCCTCTTCCTTGTGTGTATTACCCCTGTCTGACTTCACCATTCATCTTAGCAGACTACAGAAAGACATGGGAGAGACCAAAAATACATCCCTGGACACAGTGGTGACAGACTTCATTCTCCTGGGCTTACCTCATCCCCCGAGTCTGAGGACCCTCCTCTTCCTGGTCTTCTTCATCATTTACATCCTGACTCAGCTGGGGAACCTGCTCATTCTGCTCACCGTGTGGGCTGACCCAAAGCTCCATGCTCGTCCCATATACATTCTTCTAGCCGTGCTCTCATTCCTGGACATGTGGCTCTCCTCAGTCATCGTCCCTCGAGTTTTTCTAAACTTTACTCCCACCAGCAAGGCAATCCCCTTTGGGGGCTGTGTGGCTCAACTGTATTTCTTTCACTTCCTGGGCAGCACCCAGTGCTTCCTCTACACCTTGATGGCCTACGACAGGTATCTGGCAATATGCCAGCCCCTGCGCTACCCCGTGCTCATGAATGGGAGGTTATGCACCATCCTCGTGGCTGGAGCTTGGGTGGCTGGCTCCATCCATGGGTCTATCCAGGCCACGCTGACCTTCCGTCTGCCCTACTGTGGGCCCAACCAGGTGGATTACTTTATCTGTGACATCCCTGCAATATTGAGACTGGCCTGTGCTGACACAACCATCAATGAGCTCGTGACCTTTGTGGACATTGGGGTGGTGGCAGCCAGTTGCTTCATGTTAATTCTGCTCTCCTATGCCAACATAGTCCACGCCATCCTGAAGATTCGCACTGCCAATGGGAGGCGCCAAGCCTTCTCCACATGTGGCTCCCACCTAACCGTGGTCACTGTCTACTATGTGCCCTGTATCTTCATCTATCTCAGGGCTGGCTCCAAGAGTCCCCTGGATGGAGCAGTAGCCGTGTTTTACACTGTTGTCACTCTGTTTCTGAACCCCCTCATCTATACCCTGAGGAACCAGGAAGTGAAGTCTGCTCTGAAGAGAATAACAGCAAGTCAAGGGGCCGCCAGTGAAAATAAGTAACTAGAGGCTCAGGGACTACCTGCTTCATGGTTGCTAACACACGTCTCATTTTTAAGTACTCTACACCCAACATGGGGCTTGAACTCACAACCCAAAGATCAAGAGTCACATGCTCCACTGACAGAGCCTGCCAGGTGCCCCTCATATTATTTGTTTAGAAATAAATGTATAGGGTGTCTGGCTGGCTCAGTCAGTTAAGCATCTGCCTTAGTCTCAGGTCAAGATCCCAGGGTCCTGGGATGGAACCCAAGACTGTATAGGTTCCCTGCTCAGTGAAACCTGCTTCTTCCTCTCCTGCAGCCCCTTCCCCTCCCCTGCTCATTCTCTCTCTCTCAAATAAATAAATTTTTGGAAAAAAAAAAAAAAAGAGGGGGCACCTGGGTGGCTCAGTGGGTTAAAGCCTCTGCCTTCGGCTCAGGTCATAATCTCAGGGTCCTGGGATTGAGCCCCGCATCAGGCTCTCTGCTCAGCAAGGAGCCTGCTTCCCCCTCTCTCTCTGCCTGACTCTCTGCCTACTTGTGATCTCACTCTCTCTGTCAAATAAATAAATAAAATATTAAAAAAAAAAAAAAAGAAAAGAAAGAAACGAGTGTTTACAATGTTAGGGTCCGTGATCAAAGGAACGAGACTGATGCAAAGTGAAAGTCAAGCAAAGCTTTATTTTGCGCCAAGCATCAGAAACCAAACCAACCAGCAGGGACCGTCTCTTACAAAGAGGCGACGACGACGACGACCCCGACAAGGCCGCTCCCAACAAGGCCGGACAAGGCCGCTCGCCCATGAGGCCGCTTGAGGTGGTGCCTCGGCTTGGGGCGGCAAGGCTGCTCACGGCAGTGCTGCTCCCGAAGGCTATTACTCCTACGACTACCCCAACAACTATCCCAACAGCTACTCTAACAGCTATCCCAAGGGCTACTACAACTCCTCCTACTACTCCCCCCTCCCCAGCCTCACAGACTAACCTTTATAGAGGTGGTTGAGCCCGGCCCACACACAGGTGGCCAATGAGATTTCAACACACCACAGTAAATATATGCGCGCCCCACTGATTGGTTGTCTCTATCCGGCCTGGCCCACCCCTATATCTGAGGTTTGCAAGTATGTTCCTCTGGCTAACCAGGCCCTCATACATGCCCTCACATTCCCCCCTTTTCCTTGGAAATTAGTCAAATCCTTGACTTTTCAGCCAGTTCTATGTTCTCCTGTTGTAAGGGGTTATGTTGAGCATGTAAGACTAACATTTTTATTGCTCTAATTTTCTTTGGTACAAATGACATTAGGGCGTTTATAATACAGGGGCCAAAAAGTAACAGTAGTGCACAGTCGGCTGATGAGTTTGCCATTCAACGCTTTGTATAACCTTTTCCATTTTTCCTAATTCCTTTCATCTAATTTCCCACCTATACTTTACATAAAAAGGTAAAAATAGGAGCAACAATAAACTCACAGTTTTTTTAGTCTTAGCTTTAGTCCACGGTCAGCAGGGTCCGTCAGCTGCATCTTCCATCTCTGGGGGGCGTCCTAGTCCTCGGCTCGTTTGAAGTGACCCGCGTGAATCCAGGCCCTAATGCCTTCTACTTTTACTGCCATGGGGGTGGTCAGGATAACAGTAAATGGTCCTTTCCAGCGAGGCTCCAAGTTTCCCACTTGATAGCAATGTATCCAAACCAAGTCCCAGGGTTGGTAAGGATATGGTTCCACCTCCGTCTCCGTCCCAGTGTGGGCAGTCAGGATCCCTGCGTGGGCTTTTTTTAAGACAGACTGTAATGCCTGCCAGACTGGAGTACAGACTGATCAGTCGTTTCTGCTAGGGCAACCTCTTGTAGCAGAGGACAGAGTGGGGGGGGGGGGTCTCCCAAACATTATTTCAAAGGGGGTCACCTTGTTTAAATCATACCCTGAGGAGGGCAAAAGGAAGGAGATCCACCCATCCACCACCAGTCTCCAGAATTAACTTTGTCAAGTTCTCCTTAAGAGCCCAGTTCATTCTCTCTACTTGCCCGGAACTCTGGGGCCGGTAGGCACAATGTAATTTCCAATTAGTGCCCACAGACTTGGCCAATGCCTGTGAGATTGAACTCACAAATGCAGGGCCATTGTCTGACCCGATCACAAGAGGCAGCCCAAACCTAGGAATTATTTCTTCTAGTAGCTTTTTGGCTACCACTCCTGCCATCTCATGTTTGGCGGAAAAAGCCTCTACCCCGCCTGAAAAGGTATCTACAAAAACTAACATATACTTGTGCCCATATTTTCCGGGTTTCATTTCTGTAAAATCTATTTCCCAATAAATTCCTGGTTCCTTACCTCTTTCTCTTTTTCCTCTTCCCATTTTAGTTCTTCCCACATTAACTGCCTGACATTGAGCACATCTATCAACTACATCCTGAACCATACGCCCTAATTTAGAAACCTGGAATTGCTTGCATATAAGCTCCTTGAGTTTGCGTATCCCCAAATGAGTACCTTGATGTATCTGGTCTACCACCTTCTTACCTAGTCTTCGAGGAAGAATTATTTTTCCTGCTCTAGTCTTAGTCCAGTCCCCTTCATAGTCCAATTTAACCCATTTCTGTAAATATTTTTTTTTAAGATTTTATTTATTTATTTGACAGAGAGAGAGATCACAAGTAGGCAGAGAGGCAGGCAGAGAGAGAGGGGGAAGCAGGCTCCCCGCTGAGCAGAGAGACCGACGCGGGGCTCGATCCCAGGACCCTGGGATCATGACCTGAGCCGAAGGCAGAGGCTTTAACCCACTGAGCCACCCAGGCGCCCCTCTGTAAATATTTTAAATCTTCTTCTGAATAGTTCGGTTTTTCTGGTAAGGCTGGAGCCAGGAGTGTAACTAGTTCTTGTACTGTTTCTCGGGCTGCTTGCTTTGCGGCTTGATCTGCTAATTGGTTTCCTTTTGAAATCAGATCAGTCCCCTTTTGGTGTCCCAGGCAATGCATAACGGCCACCTCTTTTGGGTCCCAAATAGCCTGGAGGAGAGCCAATATTTCTCCTCTGTTTTTTATTCCTTTTCCTTCTGCTATTAATAGGCCCCTTTCTTTATAAATAGCCCCATGTACATGGAGAATAGCAAAGGCATACCCGCTGTCCGTATAGATGTTGGCAGTTTTACCTTTGGCCATCTGCAGTGCCTTAGTGAGTGCAATCAGCTCCGCTTTTTGTGCCAAAGTTCCATGTGGCAGGGCTGCTGTCTAGAGTTCCTGCTCAGGAGAAACCACCGCAGCCCCCACATACCTCTTTCCATTGATCATGTAGCTACTCCCATCTGTGAACAGAGTCATCTCAGCATCTGGGAGGGGAATGTCTCTGAGATCTGGCCTTATTCCTGCGACTTGGGTTAGGACCTCCCCACAGTCGTGTGGATGGTCAGCCAGCTCCTCTGGCAGCAGTGTGGCTGGGTTTAGCACCGCCAGGGGCCAGAAGGTCACTCTTGGCTCTTGAGGAGGAGGGCCTGATACCCTGTCACTCAGGCGTTCGTCATCCATTGGTCTGGTGGAGTCCGAAGGAGGCCCTCGATAGCGTGGGTGGTGGTTATGATGAGATTTTGACCCAATGTCAATTTACTCGCATCCTTGACCAGGAGGGCCATGGCAGCAATTATGCAAAGGCAAGGGGGGAACCAGCTGCTACTGGATCTAGTTTCTCACTATGATAGGCTACTGGCCTTTGCCAAGGCCCCAGAATCTGAGTTAAAACTTCTTTGGCCACCCCTGCTTTTTCATCCACATACAAGTGGAAGGGCTTGGTAACATCTGGGATGGCCAATGCTGGGGCACTCAGTAAGGCTGTTTGTAATTCCCGAAATGCTCCTTTGGCCTCAGCTGTCCACTCTATCATAGTGAGCCCCCGTTTTGCCAGTTCGTAGAGAGGTCGGGCAATCTCTGCAAACCGCAGTATCCACAGCCTACAGTAGCCCACCGTCCCAAGAAACTCCCTCACTTGTCAGGACGTGGTGGGGTGGGGGTATCCGGTGATCACCCATTTCCTGGACTCAGACAGTGAACGCATTCCCTCGTGGAGACCAAAGCCTAGATAAGTGGCGTGACTCTGACAGAGCTGTGCTTTCTTTACTGACACCCGATACCCTTTTTCCTGCAGAGTCTGTAAGAGAACTCTTGTCCCCCACAAACATGACTCATAGTCCTCAGCGACTACTAGCAAGTCATCAACATACTGTAACAGAGTGACTCCTGGGTTGGAGGTTCTGTACTCACGCAAATCCTTGTGTAGGGCCTCGTCAAAAATGGTGGGTGAATTCTTGAATCCTTGGGAAAGTCTTGTCCAGGTGAGCTGGCCTTGGAACCCCTCCTGTGGGTTGGACCACTCAAAAGCTAAAAGGGGCTGAGATTCCCTTGCTAAAGATATGCAGAAAAATGCATCCTTGAGATCTAAGATGGTATACACAGTTCTTTGGGGGCCCAGGAGGGAGAGTAGGATATAGGAGTTAGGCACCGTCGGGTGGATATCTTCAACCCATTTATTAACTTCCCGCAAGTCCTGAACGGGTCGGTACTCCCCAGTCTCGGCCTTTTTGATGGGCAGCAAAGGAGTGTTCCATGGAGATTTGCAAGGAACTAGGATCCCGTCTCCTCGGAGGTGGTTAATGTGTTTTCTGATCCCTTCCTTTGCTTCCCCGGGGAAGGGGGTACTGCCAAACATGAACAGCCATAGCCGTCACCTTTAATTGTACCACCACTGGAGGTTGTTCCCTGGCCAAGCCAGGGGGCTTCCCTTCTGCCCAGACCTCGGGAAACTCGACCTGTAGGATTTGGAGAAGGCTCCCCCCATTTGTCTCCTCTGGTTTTGAGACTGGCTCGTAGAGGAGGTATTCATCTACTGCTGCCATAAGCAACTGTACAGTGGGTTGTCTCAAGGTTACAGTCATGTCTCCTTCCGAGAACTGAATGCAAGCTCTTAACTTGTGGAGGAGATCTCTTCCCATCAGGTTATATGGGGCATTAGGAAGGACCAAAAATCGGTGTTTAACT